TAGAATAGAATATACCTGTATTTTGCAAGTCAGCATACGTTTCAATTGACACTGATCTTATAATATGGTTTGTAAGTTAGAATACTGATTTGCCTTATAAATGATTGATGATCATGCTATTTTTTGTCTTTAATTATTCAAAGGATTATCTGGGTATCTGTCAATGGTGTAAAAACACAAAAGTGATGTTTTTTGCTTAATATAGGACAGTATTAAACTATGACACTGTTTGAATTATTATTACGTATTCTCATTGATAGAAGTCAAAAAGGATAGAAAGTAAGTCATAACTCGCCATTTTAAATATTGAAAAGAAAATGAAGGCCATGACATAAAGAAACTTTCTCTAACCCTTTAGCTATTATAAAGTACAAAACATGCAAAAAAAATTGCCGAATTTTACTTTTCATTTCTGTACAACATGTAGCGTGCTTTTGTCCAGCATCATGGCATTTCAAAACATTTCTGAATTGCAGAATACACTTTAGGCATATCAATATATAATTATGGGAATATAAAACAACTGTAACATCGGGGCGCTTCTAGGACAACGACAAATAAAACCTGTTCAGAAAGGAATAGTTTGTCCTGCTTGCAACTCTATATATTCCTCAACAAAAGTCAAGAAAAAATTCATATCTGATCGACAATATATGCTTGCGAAATTTAAATGATTGTAGTTTGTCGAAGATTTCCAATTGTCGTGATTGTTCTGCCCTACAGTCTGGTCTGTATAAATTGATTTGATATCTGAACTATGGTTAGCATTGATATTGAACTGCTTATGGTAAAAAGCTTGTTCTGTAAATTTGTTTTTGAAATTAATGAATAAAGTTTGAATCCTCGTAAAGGTTTAGAGTGGTAGTAAAGACAGTTACCTTTAACCTGAATCTATTTTTGTTTATAATCCCTTGTCTTGCTTGAATGTAGCTTTTTATTCAATATATGCAAGCATACGAAAAAAAAAGATCGCTTTACACTTTGATATTCATTTGTTTACAAAAACTATGGAAATCCCATGAACTTCAAAGATAATAGAGTTCGGATGCGTCACCAGCATACGCGTCTTTTGCTATGCATGCATCACACGCCATGCAAATCACAATCAGTCAAAATTTAACAAACAGGAATAGGACACAAATTGTACATTTAGTATCTACTTATTATTTAAATATATTAAACTGCGAAAAGATGTTGCTAGTGAGTTGAGACACGGTAAAGCTTAGAGATAACGCAATTTGTGATGGTGACTTGAAACTTACTTTGTATAAAAATAAGGAGATGTGGTTTGATTACCCATGATACAACTATCCACCAAAGTTCAAGTGGATGCAAGCAATTATAGAGAACCGTACGGCCTTCAACAATGAAAAAAACCCTTGCCATATATTTGGCTATAAAAGGCCCCGACATGAAAAATATGAAACAATTCAATTAAGAAAACTAAAGGCCTTATTTATAACAAAACAATTTACGAAAACAAATATGATTTGTGTCCATTTAAGTCGCCGGTTCTTCCTAATGACTCTATACATATAACAGAATTCGTATTTACACTAGCAAAACACACAGGTGCCACATGTGGATCAGAATCTGCTAATCACATGAGATAACCCCCAGTTGTAAGTTAGGTTCGTGTTGATCAATCTTTTTATGTAGGGTTTTGCAGAATTTTTTGTCTTTACCTCGTTCTTCGACTTTCGCCATGTCGTTGTTAGATTGTCTTCGACTATTATGTTTGAATATCCCTTTGGTATCTGTCGCCTATTTTTAAGCAATTTTGTGTCAGAAGCACACCCCTGTTCATGAAGTCGTTACTGTGTCAACATGCACGAGCTTAAGGTATCAATTGAGATTACGTAAGCACCATAAGATGAAGCAGAGGGTACGCTACTATTGAGAACTGGAACATTGACATTGGAAATGTAAAATTTTGTATGTTGACTTATGCAGCATTCGTTTCAACTTTTATAATAAACAATTTCCAAACTTTCCTTCTGTATACCATCATTGAATAATCATCAATTTCGAGTTAATTTATTTCATCTTTACAACTATCAACTGTGTCAAAATACCGCGATTAACTGGTAGGGATAAATAAAACATCTGAACCAATTCTGCTTTGAGAAAATAACACTTTTCAAAGGATTAAACTTAATGTATGGTTCTTTGAAATGTTAAAGCCAAGTTTCAACGGACTTCCCAGGTTTATCATCTTTTGGGATTTTGTCGGATCTCATTTTCCTACCTAGTATACAACTCAAAAAATTATTTTGCATCTTATATAAATAGAAGAACTATATCAACACAACCTCAGAAAGAATTACGAACATCCAAAAAAAATCAAAGAGACAATAAAACATCAACACATGCAATAAATACAAGTTTGAGCTTTCTAAAAAGCTGCGGACTGCGTCGCTCTATCCTAATCTAAGGTAATATGTGTGCATGTGGTTGTTGATTTAGTATTGGAAATGTGGTATTTTTAAATATTGATTGATATAAAATGGATTTACTTTAAAAGTGTGCGTTTTACACCCATGCTTTTAAAATTTTGTTCACTTTACTTGTTGAAAATTAAAACTTTTACAAATAGACACGACTCTGGAGGTTTGCCTTTCTGGAGGTGTGCCTAGATTGGCAGAAGTTATAAAATACAGATAATGAATTTTTGTAAACATTGTATAGGAACATTGTTTAGCAAAACAAATCGTGCATATTGCAGATTCACAAAGCAAATAAACACGTATTAATAATTGATATTTCAATATTGAATTTCAGTGTGCAATATATGCATAATAAAACGAACATGAATTAATGACAGTTGATAAGAACTAAAATACACATAGTTAATTTTCCGGCATTTGATGTCTTATCCTGAGACGAGAAAAGTCTGTAATTCTTTATCTCATTTGAGCCAATAGCTGTTGCTGTATCTCAGCCGCATCATAAAGCAACCAATCAGAATCTATATGTGATAAGTAATTATTTCAAGATGGCGTGTATGTCCGCTGAAACTAATAGCTCCGCACCGTGATGCGAAGCAATCAAGTCCTAACTCTATGAGGAAAACTAGGCACTCTGCCCAATCAGGGGCCGGACACAACTTTCCGGATTTTATTTAAGCTAATGATTTAATAGTAGATATTTTGAAATTTTAAAAAAAAATCGTTTAAAAGAATCTTATTCCATAAAAACTTGTGTATATGAAAAGAGAAATTGCAGTGATATTAATTTATAGTAGTTACGATACAATTTATACATTACTGCTTTATTGTATGGTGTTGGAATCTAGTGAAACACAAAATGTTCCCGTTTACAGTACTTTGTACCTTCATAATTTGTCATCAAAAGGCTTATATGATTATCTTTTTCGATTAATGAATAAAGCATTGTGTTTGATGTTTGAATAAAATAAAAATAAAAATATGATTGAGTGCAGCATTTGAAAAAAAGTCATACTGCATACCCCTCATGATCTGCATTTTAGTCAAATTTGCTAGCTAAACGATAAAATTAAAAAAACTGCACCATACGACTTTTTGGCGACCAATCTTAAATTCAAATATAATCATTTATCTAAGAATGTGCAAATTTGTAGCCGTGTAATATGAAGTGAAATAAAACTCTTTTTAATAACGGACTTTTTCCTATTTCCGCACTAATTAGAATGGCTTGACAGATATTATTATCCAGAGATTTACGTCTGATACTTTATTCACATTTAACCCATTTGGACCAAATAAAATTGAGATATAAGATCCAATCATGTTAAATCATTTCCATTAATACTGGTGTATCAATTCGTGTTGATTTTTGTATGTTTTTGTTATTTAAATAACATTGCATTATAATTATATGATTTAAACAACACACCGAATGCAAATATGACATAAATACAGGCAACTAGCAAGGATAAATATAATTGTACAAAGATTTAAATGGAAATTGATTTCCTCCTTGTAGCACTTCTGTAAACGTGCTATCTGATGTATTGCTGATCCTATAACATTTTCCATGTTATCCATGTTGATCTTGTATGCCATTTTCTGTCTGTTTACGTGTCGAAGTGATCCATAGAACATACATTTCATGGATGTTATGTTATCTAGTTTCATGTGATTTTGTTTCCGATATGGGATTTTAGAGTAAATGGTTGGTTGATTTCAACTTCTAAAATTTCACATCTTTTTTCAGAGTACTGCTTTCTACCTTACGTACAACCAAAATTCTATAAACTTTCTTATTGGCTTGTCTTCGTCCGAAAGCTTTAATGATTTGATATTTGATGTTATCTTACCTACTCTTCATTTCAAGGAATATGATTGGTTAAAAGTAACCGCTTGGAGACCGTGTATATTTCATATGTGATTAATAGGCGTGGTTTATTTCAATACACGATTAGTAGTGGTGTTACGCCCCTTTGTAAAAACAACACGGTGTTGAGGAAAAATCTGAAAGTTTTCAACAGACGAAGAAATTGATGATGAACGATTGAAACAAATGCAGAAAACACATTAAAAGCTAACAAGTTATTAATGTTTGCATTTGTTTTTGTATAGACCAATGGAAGTAGGTTGTTAATATTGAAGACTTGATCACTTTGATAGGCCACTAGTCTAAATGACACATCTTAAGATACATGTAGTCGGTAAGATAAATTTGTTACACAGTATGCTAGTGACCTAATACGATATATATGGGGTCAGTAAATTCCATATGGGGTTTCGCTCTCACCCCATATGAAATTTACTGACCCCATATATATCGTATTAGGTCACTAGCACACTATGTAACTAATAGTTTTGCATAGCATACGATGCTTACGCATATGATACGGATATCTAGATTCAATATGTGTATTTTTTTAATCTTCAAATAACGATCATTGTTATTTGCATATGGTCTAACTCTTTTACTTCGTATATATGTATATGTTTAGCATGTCAAAATACAGTAAATCGGGAACCAAAAAATTCTCCCTGCATTAAGCTACTTACTTTTTAATTCTTCCAATATATGAATAACAAGTATCAATATGCAAATCAGTAACGGGAAAAAATACAAGGTTTTGCAGCATTTTATCCGCCTCTGAAATGTAATATATAACGTGTGAATATATTAATTTGCCTTTTTGTGCTTTGTTCAATGCATATCTGCATATTTTAATGTAAAACCTAGAGTTTCTATTCAGATTAACATATGTATATATTAATTTTATACATATCAGTGATATTCCATCTTTTTCAACATTAATAGATTTTTTTTAACTGAATTTCAGTAAAAAAAAATAACTTTAATATCAGAAATATAGAAAAAAGAAATATGTTTCCGAATTAGCATAGCTTACCTTTAAATTGAAAAATTTCCTGATATTTCTTATAGCCATTTAGCAATGAAAGGAAGAAGTTATTGTTAAAGAAATGCATGATCTGCTTGATTGGAGTTTCAAGCATATTTTGTATCCTTAATATTGTGGTTGGGTGATTTTCCCATACACTATCAACCAGATCGGGATTCTGAAAGACTATAAAATTCTATTTAAAAATCAATCAATACAATTTTCAATTAACCTGAAAACTTTGTTTTACGTTTTGCACTACTACTTTATGAGAGATAACCTATATCTAGGCAATACAAGTTACCCGATGTTCAAATATCAAAAATCGATTAAAACGACAAGGTAACAATTAAAACATGTACTACAAAAACAACAAGACCGTGAGAGTCGACAGATTAGCGTCCCCTGCTAGTCAAAATGTCACAATCGAGAATAGGACATAATCATTAAAAGAATATTCTTGTATCTTAATATCTAAACTGCAAAAACATGTCGCTAACGATTAAAGACACAGACACATTCAATTTGTGATGGTGACCGTAAAACCCATGAAGTGTCGATTTCAGTCGTTCTTTCTAATAAATCTGTTGGAGCAGTTTTTGTGTAAGGAACACACACCTAATAATGAAATCCATATAGTGTGAACATGCACGAGCGTAATAAATATCAACTGAGATATATAAACGCCACGCCATGCGATGTAACGACATCTTGTCGTTTAGATTTGTAAACAGTTTTTAAAAAGTATTTGACGTCTGCTGACTCACTTTTAGAGGGAGCTTGCTGTCTTGTATAAAGAAATCAACCTTATGTATTGTGAATTTCGTTATGTCAATTCGTTCCAATGATAATAGTCAGTTACTGAATATAACTGGTTTTTTTCTTATTAACATTGCTTGAACTTATTCTTTAGACTATGCAGTTTTCACTTATTCCCACAAAAAGTACTCCAAGGAGAGATTGCAGAAAATTGAATTTTGTTGACCATTTTTCTTTGCCTAATGTCGGTTTCTAAATAATGTTATGTTTTTGTGTTTTGGTCTATTTCTTGGATACTATAAGCATTCAGTCAATTACATTTGGTGTATAGAATGTTTGTAAGGTGTACTCATCTATCTGACAGTAATCACCTGACCTTGACCTATTCTATTAGGTTTATGGAATGATTGTCAGATGTTTATATTTGTCTTGCAGGTACAATTCTTGCCAGATTTTTATAAAACTTATACTATAGGTTAATATCAGCAATATCTAGGACAAATTCTATAATGGTGGCCGATTGACTTTTTTTAAAAGAGTTATGCCCCTTGGAAATATTAAATTTATGGAAAATGGCCTCGTTAGCGCTCTCACGGGTACAATTCTTGCCAGATTTTTATAAAACTTATTCTATAGGTCAATATCAGCAATATCTCGGACAAGGTTCTATAATGGTGGACGATCGACTTTTTTAAAAGATTTATGACCCTTGGAAATATTAAATTTATGGAAAATGGCCTCGTAAGCGCTCTCAAGGGTACAATTATTTATAAAACTTATAGTATACTATAAGTAATGCCCTTGAAGGTCTGTTTGAAATATATAGTATACAATAAAAAGAACTTTTTTGTCCCAAGCACGCTTTTTATTTATAAATTGTTTTCAAGAACAACAAAAAAAAAAAGGTTTTTGTTTTTAGTTATTGCCCCTGGATATATAAAATATGTGCAACGCGGGGGACATTGGAACTCTGTTCTTTTATTTTTACTTCCAGGAACTAAAAAGTAAAGAAACAGAACCAAAGAATCAAAGAACATTAATTTTAAATTAATATAATATTGAACGCAAAAGTCAATCTAGTTGTTTTTCTTAATCATACATGTTATTTCCAAAAAGCAGCTGCATACACATGCACCAGTAATAGCCAGCAGTGTACGTAGACAATTACATATCTGTGTATGGTGATATAGCAATAGAAATATCACATACATCATTGTACATCATTAAAATTAAGAATGGAAATGGGGAATGTGTCAAAGAGACATCAACCCGACCAAAAAGCAGAAAACAGCCGAAGTCCACCAATGGGTCTTCAACACAGCGAGAAAATCCCGCACCCGGAGTCGGACTTCAGCAGGCCCCTTAACAAAAATGTGTACTAGTTCAGTGGAAATGGACGTCATACTTAACTCCAAAACATATAAATTAACTAAAATTTAAAATCATACAAGACTATCAAAGGTCAGAGGCTTCTGACTTGGGACAGGCGCAAAAATGCGGCGGGGTTAAACATGTTTAGTGAGATCTCAACCCTCCCCAATTGTAGATTACCCACAATACTAATAGTAATTACTTAACATATGAAAATAGAATATAGACAATATAAATGGGGAATGTCAAAGAGACAAACATATGATAATAGAATATAGACAATAGAAATGGGGAATGTCAAAGAGACAAACATATGAAAATAGAATATAGACAATAGAAATGGGGAATGTCAAAGAGACAAACATATGAAAATAGAATATAAACAATAGAAATGGGGAATGTCAAAGAGACAAACATATGAAAATAGAATATAAACAATAGAAATGGGGAATGTCAAAGAGACAAACATATGAAAATAGAATATAAACAATAGAAATGGGGAATGTCAAAGAGACAAACATATGAAAATAGAATATAAACAATAGAAATGGGGAATGTCAAAGAGACAAACATATGAAAATAGAATATAAACAATAGAAATGGGGTATGTCAAAGAGACAAACATATGAAAATAGAATATAAACAATAGAAATGGGGTATGTCAAAGAGACAAACATATGAAAATAGAATATAAACAATAGAAATGGGGAATGTCAAAGAGACAAACATATGAAAATAGAATATAAACAATAGAAATGGGGAATGTCAAAGAGACAAACATATGAAAATAGAATATAAACAATAGAAATGGGGAATGTCAAAGAGACAAACATATGAAAATAGAATATAAACAATAGAAATGGGGAATGTCAAAGAGACAAACATATGAAAATAGAATATAAACAATAGAAATGGGGTATGTCAAAGAGACAAACATATGAAAATAGAATATAAACAATAGAAATGGGGTATGTCAAAGAGACAAACATATGAAAATAGAATATAAACAATAGAAATGGGGAATGTCAAAGAGACAAACATATGAAAATAGAATATAAACAATAGAAATGGGGAATGTCAAAGAGACAAACATATGAAAATAGAATATAAACAATAGAAATGGGGAATGTCAAAGAGACAAACATATGAAAATAGAATATAAACAATAGAAATGGGGTATGTCAAAGAGACAAACATATGAAAATAGAATATAAACAATAGAAATGGGGTATGTCAAAGAGACAAACATATGAAAATAGAATATAAACAATAGAAATGGGGAATGTCAAAGAGACAAACATATGAAAATAGAATATAAACAATAGAAATGGGGTATGTCAAAGAGACAAACATATGAAAATAGAATATAAACAATAGAAATGGGGAATGTCAAAGAGACAAACATATGAAAATAGAATATAAACAATAGAAATGGGGAATGTCAAAGAGACAAACATATGAAAATAGAATATAAACAATAGAAATGGGGAATGTCAAAGAGACAAACATATGAAAATAGAATATAAACAATAGAAATGGGGAATGTCAAAGAGACAACAACTTAATAAAATAACATAACTACTTGATATAAAAAATATAGAGCACTGTGTAAATTATTTTTTCTGCACAAGGGAATGCCTCTATTCAGCTGTTTTTTATTTGTTTGTTGTGTCTGTTTGAGATTTTGATTTCGCCATGTTTAAAGACTTTCTGTGGTGTTTGGTATTTTGGTTTATTTACTTTTAAAAGAAAAACATGCAAAAAACATATTATAAAATCAAAAAGTAATCCTAAAAAACCTAAAGCAAAAATAATACATATAATAACCATGTTTAGGATCTATTAGAAAATAAATGCACTTGAACAATAAAAAAACATATAAAAAATATATACATGTATTTAGGACCAAGATAAAAACATATGAAAACATATGTTTAGGGTCAAATGAAAATCATATGAAAAACATATGTTTGTAAAAATCATATGAAAAACACATGTTTTCCATATGTTTTCCATATGTTTTTCGTATGTTCAAAAACATATGTTTTCATATCGGGCCTAAACATATGTTTCCATATGTTTTCAAACGTATGAAAAACATATGTTAAACATATGAAAACATATGTTGCAATTTTTCTATGTAAATAAGGGGAAAACCATTTTTTTTGGGGGAATGGGGGTGGACAGGAGGATTTGAATATGAATATGGTCGCCTGGTAAGAGCTGAAAAAAGCATGCTTAGCGACAGATCATATATGGTGCCATAAGGGGGGGGGGGGGGGTGGGGGGGGGGGGGGGGGTGAGGGGGGGTTATGGTTTTTTCATAAAAAAATATTCTGATCCCCAATTTGATGAAAAAATATATTGTGGTCAAGCAGGTGACTGAATCCAGATTTTCCCTATACCTTATAGTGTTAAATTTTGAAAAAATAATTTGATTGCTAGCGTCGAAAAACAAAAACAAAATTTCGCGTATAAAATATGTGGTTCTATATACTTTTCTTTCAAATAATGGATATAGTTAGCTACTTCCGGTTTACAAAGGGTGACTGTATGCTGAATCTAAATATAGATGGTTTTTAAATACTTTTCTCTTGAAAAAGTGCAGAAGATGGCTACATGTAGTTCAAGTTTGCACTTGGTTACTTTCGGTTTGATATTTTTCAAAGTCATATGTCACTCAAACCTTCTAAAAGACCCCATGACTTTATTATGTACCCTATATGAAATAAAAATAAAGTCAAGGGCAATTACTCCTATCAGATGTCATTATAGAGCTTTGAACCGAATGTACCATTTCTTCCTCTCAATAACCAAAACATATTGCATCATTTCTTTTGTAACTTCCTTTTATTGTTTGAGATCATATGCACACACAAGCAAAGAGTAAAATATAGAACATGACCTTGACCTTTGGTGGACAATGAACCTCAAATCAAGATACCCCAGGTTTCCTAAGTTACGTTTCATGAGTGATTTTTATATATCACTTATGTCAAATACAAAATGGGAAATAACTATCATATGGAGTCCCATTATCGC